CCTGGAGATAATCCAGATGTAGGAATTAGAAGACAAAGACTTTAAAGCATCCATTAAAACCATGCTCCTTGAGGTCAAGGGAAACAATTTGGAAATAAATACTAAGACAATATTTCTCTGTAGAGAAATAGAAACTTTATAAAAGAACCCAATGAAAATTTTAGAACTGAAAACTATAATATATGGCACAAGAAATTCACTGGATGAGCTCAATAGCATAATAGATATCACATAGGAAAGAGTGAAAGAAATGGAAAGTCAATTAATATAAATAATCCAATTTGAAGAACAGAGAGATAAAAGATTGAAACAAATTACATACCATAAGGAACACTCAGGGATCTGTTGGATAATATTAAAAAGTTAAAAATTCGTGTTATTAGACTTCCCAAAAAACATTTAGAGACATAATGGTAGAAAATTTCCAAATTTATTGACTGCTATCGACTGAATGTTTATGCCTTCCCAAAATTCATATGATGAAACCTAAACACTGATGTGGTGTTATTTGGAGGTTGGGCCATTGGGAGGTGATTAGGTCATGAGGGTGGAGCCCTCGTGAATGAGATCAATGTCTTTATAAAAGAGAATATAGAGAAGTCCACTGTCCCTCACACCATATGAGGAGAGCAGGAAGACAGACTTCTGTGAACCAGAAAGCAACCCTCACCAGACAGTGAATCTGCTGGCATCTTGATCTTTGATTTCCCAGCTTCCAGAACTGTGAGAAATGAATGTTTGATGTTTAAGTCACCCAGTTTATGGTATTTTTGTTACAGCAGCCCAAAGGGACTATGAAAATGAGAGGCATAGATTTACAAATTCAAGGATTTACAAGTTCAAGGATTTGTAAATTCTCAACAGAATAAAGGCAGAGAAAACCACATCCAGTCACATCACTATCAAACAGATGACAACTAAAGAAAAAATCTTGGAAGCAGACAAGGGAAAAAAAATGATGTGTTTCAAACCTCAAATGACAGCAGATTTCACATCATAAACCATGGAGGAAGGTAGACAATGAAACAATATCCTCAAAGAGGCAAAATAAAAGAAATGACAACACAAGATTTTATACAACCAGTGAAAAAGTCCTTTAGGAAGAAAAGGAGAATAAAAATATCCTCAAATTAGTGAAAGTAAGAGGATTTACTGCTGAATACCTGCTTTAAAAGAAATGTCAAAGGAAGTTCTTCCTGCTGAAGAGAATAATAGCAGAAGGAAACTTGGCACTTCATTAATGAAGAAAAAAGTAAAGGTGAAATATATAGCTAAATATAATAGACTTTTTCTCTTCTCTTAAGTTCTTTAAGATATGTGTTATTGTTGAAAACAAAGACTATAATAAAGTCATAAGGGGTTTTGAATGTACACAGTGGTGCAACACACAAAGGAGAAAGCTAATGGGACCTATACGGTATAAGTTTATACATTTGACTTCAAGTTGTAAAATATAAACTTCCTATTGACTCTGTGATAATCCCTAGAGTAACCGCTAAAATAATAAAATAAATAGCCACAAGTCCAATATAAATTAAAATGGAACACTTATAGTGTTCTAATAATACAAAAGAAAATGGGAAAGGGAGAATGGAGAACACAAAAAACAAAATAATTTAGTAAAATGGTAGACTTTAAATCAACAATGTCAACCATGATAATAAATATTAAAGAATTGAATACTCCAATTAAAAGATAGAGATTTTAAAATTGAATAAAAGGTAAAATCACATGATATGCTGTTTTCAGGAAATGTTAAGAGTAAGGAGATAGAGTAGATCCTAATTGTTCTCACACACACATAAAAGGTAACTAGGTGACGTTGAATGATATGTTAATTATCTTGATTATGGTAATCATTTCACAATGTATATATAGATATCAAGACATCACATTGTACACCATGAGCACATACAATTTTTATGGTTCAGTATACTTCAATAAAGCTATAAAAAATGAAGTTAAAAAAAGGTAAAAGGATGGAAAAAATATACCAGGAAAACATGAAAAAATAAAAGCTAGTGTGATCAAAGTAGACTTCAGCAAAAGGAAAGTTAGCAGAGATAAAGAGTGATATAACTTAATAATAAAGCAGTCAATTCACAAAAGTAGACATAGCAATTCTAAACGCACTTTGACAACAGATCTTCAAAATACATGAAGCAAAAACTGGTACAATTTAAAGGGGAAAAAAATTCACAATTATATTTGGAGAGTTAAAAACTCCTCTCCCAGAAACTGACAAAACATGCAGACAGAAAATTAGCAAGGATATAGAAGACTTGGAAAACACTACCAATCAGCTTGAGTTAAATGATATTTATAGAATATTCCACCCAACAACAGCAAAATACATATTGTTTTCAAGTGCACATGCAACTTTTACCAAGACAAACCCATATTCTGTGGCATAAAACAAAGTTAACAAATTTAAGCGCTGAAATCATGCAAAGGATGTTCTCCGACCATAACAGAATTAAACTGGAAAATTCTTAAATACATGAGAATTACACATGCCTTTCTAAATAACCAGGGGATCAAAGGAGAAGTCTCAAGGGAAGTAGAATATATTTCAACATTAATGAAAATGAAAATACAATGTATCAAAATTTGTGGAATGTAGCTAACGTACTACTTAGACGGGAAACTATAGAATTAAATTCTCACATTGGAAAGGAAACAGAATTTTGAGTCAGCAATGTCAGCTTCCAACTTAGGAAACTAGAAAAGGAAGACAAATATAATCCTAGGCAAGCAGGAAAGAAATTTTAAAGAGTGAAAAATGAGATAGCAATCAGTAAAATGTTAGAAAAAAGTCAATTAAACCAAAAGCTGGTTCTTTGGAGAGATTAATAATATTGATATACCACTAACCAGACCGAGAAAAGAGAGAAGATCAAAATTGCAAATATCAAGACAGAGATGATATTGCTATGGACTCTACTGATATCAAAAGGATAATCAGGAAATGCTATAAACTCTATGGCTATTTAATAGACAACTTAGATGAAACAAATTCCTTGAAAGATATAAACTACCTATATTTACTCAAGAAGAAATAGATAACCCTAATAGTCTTATATCTATTGAAGAAATTGAATTTATAGTTAAAAATCTTGAAAAAAGATGAAAACACTCCAGGCCTAAATGTTTTCACAGAAAAATTATATTAAACATTTAAGAAAAAAATAATATTAATTCTATCAAACTTTTTCAGAAAACAGAAGCAGCAGATATATTTTACAACTTATTTTAGGAGGCAAGATGCATCCTTACACTATAACTAGACAAACCTTTGGGAGAAAACTATGGACTAATATCTTTCAAAAGTATACATGCAAAAACCCTTAACAAAATAAGAACAAAAAGAATCGATCTATCCTTATTTAAAATAGAAAAATATATCACAAGCAAGTGAGGTTTATCCTGGGAAAACAAGGCTGATTTAGTATTTGAAAATCAACTAGTATAAGTCATCATATTATCAGATTAAAGAAGAAAAATTAGCATTAGAGAGATAGAGGAAGAAAATCGAATAAATTATGTTATAAGCCAAGGAAATAGAGTGTTGCACATGTAGAAAAATAATAAGCACACAAAAAATTAACCCTTGATAAATATGTGCTATTGACAGCAAAAAAAAATGTATAGTTATATGAAATCTCATTTAATGGTTTGCATCATTTCGATGTCTCATATATCATTTTATATGTAAGTAAAATGAGGTATAGAAAATAATTTGAAATATTTCTTACGAGCAATAAGTCTAGAACCCTAATTTGAACTTATACTTGTCTTCTTTCAAAATCAACATTTTTTATTAGTAACCATGGTTTCTGATGCCTGGTTAAATTTGGAATATTGACACTGTTGTGAAAAATATGGTTTTTTTACAGATATAATTTGACCGCAAAGATCAGCATTACCAGACTTGGACTATGGGAACCTGCATTTTAACAACACCCCAAAGTTATTCTTCTATTGCCTGAAGTATTTGCCATTAAACAAGCATTTGGAGACTACTTTTTCACAGTCCAAAAGACACAAGAATCACAGTGTTGCCTACTAAATGTTCTAACACTTCTCAATTACTTAGAACAGTGCCATAACACAATATAATGCAGTGCAATTATATATATATATATATATATTCAAGTATATATGCAATAATGAAAATGATTTCCAAATAGGAATGTGAGCTCAGACAAGATAAGGTTTGAAAACTATCCATTGGATTTAATGTCCAAAGTCCGTAGGTGATCAATGATTAATGGTCCAAGTCACAGAAATGGTGCAAATATTTAGAGTTAACAGGGAAGGTTGTTGTCAGGGATAAAGCACACCATGGCTATAATTGTAGAAAAACCCTATAAGGAGGAAATGGAATATGAGAATGACATTTTGAAAATAAGTATGACTGAGAGGAATGGAATGGAGGAAAGAATCCGTTCTGAAACAAAAACCATACGGTGAAAATGCAGAAAATCAGAATAGGAGATGCTGACTCAAACAGCCTGCTGGAAGTGGATGAGTTCCAGAAGCAGACTAAGGTCTGATAGAGAAGTGATTGCAAATAAGATACTGAGCATGGAACCTTGCGAAGTTCCCAAGGCAAGAGAGTGATAGGAACAGGGGGATACAACAAAGGACTCAATGGGAGATTTCAGTGTCTTCAGGCACAGCGTTGAGATCGTTGATCCATGAGGGTGTGAAGCACACTGGTCCCTTCTCCACAAGATGTAGTGGAAGCCGTGACTGGTTCAGTATTAAAATTCGCTCTGTATAGACAGCACAGATTCAAGTGATCCAAAAACTCTTCAACGATGTAAGGAAGGATCTGTGACAGATCATTACAGAGTCTTCATAGAGTGACTTCCTTGTGCAAGAGGCATAGAACAAGCTAATCTGCTCAGTCTTCCCTTGAGACTTGCACATTCTTCCACAATTAAGACAGGAGACGTGGCCTCGCATACAGCTATGGGCCCCTCAAACAGGTGCAGGAGAGAAGCAGCTGGTGCAGCAAAGACTTTCTGACTCACGGTTCTGGGGAGGAGGTTTTTGTTCGAGGCTGAAGCACTGTGGGAGGAGTACTTATATACTGCTGACAGTAATAAACTGCTGCATCTTCAGCCTGGAACCTGCTGATGGTGAGAGTGAAATCTGTCCCAGATCCACTGCCAGTGAATCGGTCAGGGACCCCTGTACCCCTGGTGGATGCAAAGTAGATGAGGAGCTTAGGAGCCTGTCCTGGTTTCTGCTGGTGCCAGGATAAGTAGTTCTTCTGGTTGGAGCTGTATAAAAGACTCTGGCTGGACTTGCAGTTGATGGTGACCGTGTCTCCTACAGACGCAGCCAGAGAGCCTGGAGTCTGGGTCATCACAATGTCTCCACAGACACCTGCAATCAGGAATAGATGGTGACCATACATTGCATCACTAATTTATTAAAATATATATCTAAAACTGCAGATTTTGTTATTTATTATATAGTTAGACCTTTTCAGATGAAATGTTTTATTCTTTCTATGTGTAAAAATCATTTCCCAATTTTGTAAATATATTTCTCCTCTAAACCTCTCACCTGAGACCCAGAGCACGAGGAGGATGAGGGATTGTGAGTGTGGCACCATCTTGCTGCTGCTCGCCCGTCTGACACACTCAGTCCCCATCTCCAGGAAACCCCATTAATAGAGTTCTGAGCAGTCAGCCTAGTGCCAGTTGTTGCCTATGCAAAGCATCAGAGAGTATGAAAGCAAAAGTGCCTGTGCAGTGACTTGTGAAGACAAATAATGGAAAGAAGGAGACAAAAATATTATTACCCAGGAAATGTGACTGTATGCCTACAAGAGGCCCAGAAATCAACTTAAAGCTACGATTTTCAATAAAGTTCAGCAAAATTCCCAAATTTAAAAAGTTTTTTAATGTCAATTGTACTCTTTCAAATCAACTGAAGTCAACTTGAAAACATAGTTTATAATAGAATAAACGTAATTTTGAGTGTGTATACAGACATTATTTGAAATATATATATATATGGTGTCAGTACACAAAATATATTCGTGTCACTGGGTAGAATGAGGATATTGTGCACAAATTCATATCTGTATCTCAGATTCTCTTTTGAATTTTAAATAGTTATTTGGAGTCCCTCACAGACTTCTCCTGCATCTCAATACATCCAAACCAGACCTCTGATATTTCCCTCAACACCAACACTGTCTCTGAAAATGAATCACCGCATATTATGAGTCACCCTTGTCACTGATCTCTAGGGCAAGCTCTTTCTCACATATCAGTTTAAGTCCTCTCCAATTTCTTTTGTCACTAACAGACTTAAGATGTCACAGCTCCTCCTGGGGGTAACTGGTGAAATATCTTTAGCTCCCAAGCACTGCTAGAGCAGTTCTTTATTTATTCCTACTCCAGATCAAAATATTTATAGAATACACAGATAACAATACCATGAACTCTGCTAGGCATAGGGCATTTGAACAACTCCATTGGAACCCTTGACTTCATAGAGCTTTCGTTAATGGCAAGGGCAGACAACAAGCAAAGAAATAACATTTCTGCTGCTGCTCCTACCCCACTCCCTCTGAGATCCCTCCCCTGGAGCAATGTCATTATTCAGGGTGAATGGAGTAATGGGTATCCAGACCACTTAGTGTATCTTCATCTTTCAGAATGAACAGATTCAGGGGAAGGGAACAAGTCAGAGCAATATGACACTTGTGTTTCCTGGAAAAATAAAGTCAATTGTAGTCTCATTAATTGTCAGGTATCCAGATCTCTTGATCACAGTGGTCTTTCAATTTATGATGTCGCTGCAGCATGAAACTAGACAAGGCAAATGTCAGTGACAAAAATTAATACTCTGACACTTATACATAAAAGTGAACTGCATCCAGTTTTAGTAGAGTACTTTTCTATGTTTAATATACAGTTCTAATAAAGAGAACCTCCTTCCATTTTAGACTTCTCCATTGTTTTCTTGAAAAATGAAGTTTATCTGAGTAAAGAGACAAACAGTCATCCTCCAGGTGCCTCAGATTTATAGGGACTCCTCCTTGAAGCACTTATCTTTTCCTCTTCTAGTCATTATCTCAGAGCATTGGTTACAAATAGAAAAGTAGACACTTGTGTTCTCTCCTCCAAACTATCTATTTTCTCATTCCAAGGTTCTCAATTATTATTTGGTAGACTGTTTGGTTTTGAGAATGCTGATTTCAAGTCAATATCAGGCATGAAATGCAGGACAGTAGATTCGCCTATCAGTAAGGTCTCCTTGACTGAAGTAATCTGTTAAGAATGGTCATTACTGAAGTTTGACCATGTGGAGAGAATCTCAGAATTATTGATGGAATGTGAGAAATGAATACCTGAATACTATATATGACAAGGAATATAGAACACTGGGATCTATTGGCATCCATTCTGAAGCTTCCCTTAATATAGAACTAGCACAATGGAAGTCAAAGTGGAGAGGTAGAAAGAAATTGAATCTTAGTGACATAAATGAGTGACTGGATCAAATTTTTTCATAAGCATCCACTCTGGACTTTTCATTAGCTTAAAGACTCAGATTCTCTTTACTATTTAATGTAGTGCAAGTTGACATTTCTGCTAATTATGACTGAAAATCTGCCAAATTATCTTGTAGACTTAACCAAACTAATTTGGAAATATTGGAAACATCACCATTCTATTTTTCACCATACAAAGTCTCGTCACAGGAAATGTAAAAGAACCATTGTTTAAAATAGTCTGTTCTTGGAGCTGGCCCCGCAGTGTTGGTTAAGTGCACACGCTCTGCTGTTGGCAGGCCTGGGTTTGGATCCTGGGTGCACACCAACGCACTGCTTGTCAGGCCATGCTGTGGCGGTCTCCCACATAAAGTGGAGGAAGATGGGCACAGATGTTAGCCCAGGGCCAGTCTTCCTCAGCAAAATGAGGAGGATTGGTATGGATGTTAGCTCAGGGCTGATCTTCCTCAGACATACACAAAAAAAGTCTGTTCTTAACCTGGTGAACCATAAATAATGTAGACAAATATGGTAATATCAGCATTTTGTGAGGGGAAAGTCCACTATTTTCTTATGATCGTCAAAAATAGTTTTATTTTATGAACAGACACTTCTCCAAAGAAGATATACAGATGGTCAATAGGCACATGAAAAGATATTCAACATCACTAATCACCAGGGAAATGCAAATCAAAACAACACTAAGATATCACCTCACACCCATTAGAATGGTTATAATCACCAAGACAAAAAACAACAAATGTTCGAGAGGATGTGGAGAAACAGGAACCCTCATACACAGCTGGTGGGAATGCACACTGGTGCAGCCTCTATGGAAAACGGTATGGAGATTCCTCAAAGAATTAAAAATAGAGATGTCCTATGATCCAGCTGTCGCACTACTGGGAATCTATCCAACGAACCTGAAATCAACAATCCAAAGAGGCTTATGCACCCCTATGTTCATTGCAGCATTATTCATCATAGCCAAGAAGTGGAAGCAACCTAAATGTCCCTCGACTGATGATTGGATCAAGAAGATGTGGTATATATATACAATGGAATACTACTCAGCCATGAAAAAAGGCAAAATCGTCCCATTTGCAACAACATGGATGAGTCTGGAGGGTATTATGTTAAATGAAATAAGCCAGAAAGAGAAAGACAAACACCGTATGATTTCACTCATATGTGGAATATAAACCAACACATGGACAGAGAAAACTGTATTGTGGTTACCAGGGGCAATAGGGGTAGGGGGTGGGCATAAGGGCTGAAGGGAGACATATATATGGTGATGGACAAGCAAAAATGTACAACCCAAAACTTCACAATGTTATAAACTATTAAAACATCAATAAAAAATGGTTTTATTTTAAGTTATTAAAAATGCTTACCTAAAGTATAAATTAATTTTTTTATCTTAGTTATAATCCTGAGAGAGAACATAGTCTTTTTCAGCAAAGAGCATAGAAAATGAAAAGGTCAGAAAATACACACACATATCCACGCTTTGTAATAAAAATAATAATAGCAAAATTGGTAGCAGCAATGGTCCATATGTTTGAATGTATATGTTCCCATGCATTCTACAATCTATTCCTCATCAAAAATTATATCATCTTTAAATTAGTGATCAAAAACCTCCCAACAAAAGAAAGCCCAGGACTGGACAGCTTCACTGGTGAATGCAGTCAAAATTTCAAAGAATTAATGCCTATCTTTCTGAATTCTTCCAAAACATTGAAGAGGAGGAAACATTTTCAAACTCATTTTACAAGGCCAGCATTACCCTGATATATAAACCAGACAAGGACATCACAAAAAAAAGAAAATTACAGACCAAATCCACTGATCAACATAGAGGCAAAAATCCTCATCAAAATATTAGAAAAACAAATTCAACAATACAATGAAAGGATCATCCACCATGATCAAATGGTACCTATTCCAGGGATGCAACGAAGTTCCTACATCCACTAACCTATCAACGTGATATACCACATTAACAAAATGAAGGATGAAAATCATATGATGATCTCAATTAATACAGAAAAAGCATTTGACAATATTCAACTTCCACTTATGATAAAAAACTCTCAACAAAGTCAATATAGAGAGAACAAACCTCAACACAGTAAAGGCCATATATCACAAATCCACAGCTAACATCATTCTCAATGGCAAAAAGCTGAAAGCTTTTCGTCTAAGATCAGGAAGAAGACAAGGGTGCCCACTCTTGCTACTTTTATTCAACATAGTATTGGAAGTCCTAGCCAGACAATAAAAAGAAATAAAAGGCATCCAAATTGGAAAGGAAGAAGTAAAAATTTAACTATTTGTGGACAACAGGATTTTATATACAAAAAAACTCTAAAAACTCTACCAAAAACCTGTAAGAACTAATAAACAGATTCAGTAAAGTTGCAGCGTATAAAATCAATATGCAAAAATTCATTGTATTTCTGTACACTAATAATGAATTAGTAGAAAGAGAAATTCAAAAAAAATCACATTTACAATTGCATCAAAAAGAATAAAATGCCTTAAAATAAATTTAACAACGAGGTGAAAGACATGTACAATGAAAGCTGTAAGACATTGATGAAATAAATTGAAGAAGACACACATAAATGGAAAGATATTCTGTGATCATGGATTGGAAGAATTAATATTGTTGATGTCCATATTACCCAAAGCAATCCATAGATTCAATGCAAACACTATCAAAATTCCAATAACCTTTTTCACAGAAATAGAACAAACAATCCTAAAATTTGTATGGAATCACAAAAGACCCTGAATAGCTGAAGAAATCTTGAGAAATAAAAATAAAGCTGGAGGCATTATGCTCCCTGATTTCAAACTATACTATAAAGCTATAGTAATCAAAGCAGTATGATATTGGCATAAAAACAACATGTAGATCAATGGAGCAGAATGGAGAGCCCAGAAATAAGTTCACACATATATGGTCAATTAATTTACTAGAAATGAGGCAAGAATATACAACGGGGAAAAAAACAATCTCTTCAGTAAATGTATTGGGAAATTGGCAGCCACATGCAAAAGAATGAAGCTAGACTACTATCTTACACCATACACAA